TGTCATCATGAGCTTAGATCCTATACCAGAGTAATCAGAATCAGAGCATTCCAAAGTCACAGAATGATGAGAAATTTATATGGAGCCTTATAAAAAAAATAAGCCGAGGGTTGCTGAAATTCCGAGGAGCCACGACGCAGGAGGATGGTATTGTTAACTTATTTTTCTTTCTCTTCAGGTTCCAGTAAGGGGAAGATAAGTAGCAAAACCCAGCATCACAGCAATGCAAGTGTTTTATCCCCTTCCTCCATCTGGCACCTTTTAAACAACTTGGTGTGCTTCTGAAATGGGTTCTTCATTGTCTCACGAGTCATTAGCATTTAAAACCCCCCTTTGGAATCCCAAGCACAATTTTCTCTGCATTCCAGATTCAGCATTGTCTTTCCAAATATTCAAATGGAGGCATCTCTGAGATGTGGAGTGTGTCCGGTGTCTTTGGAGGGAAAGACTCATAAGGGAGGTTTTATGTTTCTTGAGAACTGTTACCACTTATTTTAGCTTCCTTTTGTTTCTCCTCTTTGAAAGTGTATTGTGGAGCCAGTGTACATACATTTTCTCACTCACTGTGGATTCTAAGAACTGAAGGCCCGCCCTCCATGCTGACTTTCTGCTCCTGCCTGGACTCCACACTGAGCAGGCATGCTATGGTAACACAGTGCTCTATTAGGCGTGTTCCTACTGGTCGGCAGAAAACTATTCAATTGTAATCTCACTAATGATGTTTTCCCTTAAATATTGCAAGTTTCTGAGTTCCCAATTAGTCATTGATAACTCTGTCCATTTCCCCCTTTTGTGTTTATATTTGTAGCTGTTCACAGTGTGGCCTATTATTACAACAGGGTTTTCAAGCAGCTATAGAGCATGAACTCTCCACCTTCCTCCCACACTGCCTACACAATGCCAAGTCATCCTGTGGGTTTGTCTAAACTAATTTAGGAGTGCTCCTTCAAAAATGCAGAGCACCGTATTTTTGAATACTGATGAATCTGAATACTAAATATGAATTAAGTGCAGTTACTTTAAGTTGGAAGCAGCTATTACAGTGTGTTGGCACAATGAGTCAACAGAAAGGGAACGGACGGGTGGTAATACAGCACACATAACATTTTGGGATAATTCTGACATTTTTTGACTCTTCAGATCCAAACATGCCTTTTAGACAGGCACGTTTGCCTCACTGGCATCTCCTGCAAATAGTCAGTGATGATCTGCCACAGTGCAGCAGAGTGGTCGCTGGACCATAGGAGGCCGAGTGCTCTGAATGCATGGATGGGCCTGAGCCCTGTGTGCAGTGTTGTAATCCAACCGTTTGAGAGTAATGTGAGTAATGTGCAGTCTGTGTCTTTATTAAGCAAGAGCGTCTTTAGATGGGTTCCTGCTACATCAACATGGGACATTAGGCATACCACAAATCGTCTTGGGGTGACCTAAACTGCTCATAACACCTCGTTTGGGTAATTCTCAAACAGGTAATAAAATCTGAAAGTAATCTTTCAAGAAACATAAGATAGAAAGAAGTATTTTCTTAGACAATCTTGGCGTAAATCTGTTTTATCCAGCAGATTTTAATTTTGCATATGAATCATATTGTCCAACTATTAAATAATTCTATCCTTAAGTTATCAAATGCATTTTGCTCCCAACACTTCAACTACCTCCATAAGTGAGAACCCAGGGGGAGACTATTTTGAGTTACTTATTAAGTGAGAAATAAAATGCAAAGAGGGCAAAAGTCTTGACATTATAGTGTTTGGTTAAAAAGTCTTGACTATTACATTGTAACTGTAATCACATCTACTCTGAAACCTAAAGTAGGGAAATGAGAGTGATGTCCCCTTTTAAGATGGTAGTTGATAAAAGCAGTTCTGATCTCTGTCTTCTCACTGTCATATGCTTATGTATATACAATCTCTCTCATGCATATATATGTAATCTCTCTCCACATACACACAGTTAATCTTATATGGCTAGGCAAATGCTGAAAGATATTTTAATATTCTCCTCTTGTTATATTAAAATACAAATCATCACTGTAATAGAATCAGTATATGAAATCTGCCTATTTACATTTGCTGTCTTTTGGAATTAACTGGTTTTGATTGTATGAACAATATATTTTTTCTCCACCAGAAATAAAGAGTACAAATAGTTATTTTTGTGTTGGAAATGCAACAGACAACTCCTAGGCTGTGAAATGTCTTTATAACTCTCTATTGAAAACCCTGGGTTTGAATGTAGGGAAGTCTTATGGTAACTGGAACCACCAAATCAGTAAGGAAAGGAAACTAAATGTTAGCCTGAGAAAGGTTTCTTTGTTTTGTTTTGTTGTTTTGTGTTTTTGAATGACCAGAAGGCAAGGCAGAACACAGGGGAACCATGTATACTTTCTGATGGATAAGAGTTGTGTGTACAGTCCCTGGGGAGAAGGCACTTTCTGGAGCTTCCTCCAGAAAATTAATCTCAGTGTAGAAGGAGACAGGGGTTGGTGCTCAGGACATTCCCAAGAGTACATGGAGGAATAGCAGAGCAGCACAATAGGTAGGCATGGATGTGATATCGTTCAGAGAATAGGGACAAGGACTGGCTCTCTCATCCATGTGCACTTTGGCCATCAGTCAGCAATTCCCTACTAACTGGAGGGAAGACATCTTTACAGTCCCACCGTCAATGAGAAACCTCATTTAAGACTTGGAAGGATGGAAGATAATTGATCTGAGTTAGGAGCCAGCTAGAAACTGAGGGAAACCTCATCTAAGATCTGGGAGGATGGAAGATAATTGATCTGACTTAGGGTCCAGCTAGAAACTGCCTCCAAAATCCTGAAATAATCATTAGGTTTCAACTAGAATTATGTAATACAACCGCACCTGCTCTATTAACAGTCACATGACTACATTAATCGAATGCACAGAATTCTCACAGTATGTTTACCACCATTAAAGGTGTACTCTTTAGCAATCCGTACTCACTAGGGAGGTCTTGTTGACATTCCCTCTGCCTGGCAATCTTGACGATATAAGAAAATGTGTAGAAATTTCAGGTCCTGAAAGATACTTGACTTACAGAAGAGGTGTGGGTGATGGGAGGATAACTGACTTACAGTAGAGGTGTGGGGGATGGGAGGGTAAGTTCTGTTTCTTGGCATCTGGTTTAATCATTGCAGCTGCCTGCTGCTAAGAGTTTGTCAGGAAGACAACTGTAAGTTGAATGGCAAGTTCTCCTCATAGTAGCTATGTCCCGGCTATGTAAGCACAGAGATATCAGTAGCATAGTGGAGACCCATTTGTCTTGCTTACTGCCAAAGATACTGTATCTGGACAGTGCTTGGCAAATATATGCTCAAAAATATTTGTCAACTAAATGAGTGAACTTAATTTTCCTAACTCTATTTCATTGATTTTTGTGGTAAGTCTTTATAGACTTGGGAGTAATGAGTTGAATGAAGGAGATAATCTAAATGTCTTTCAACAGTGTAAATCCCACTTATACATACATACATACATACATATATACATGTATATATATATTAAACTAAGGTACCTCTAAAGCACATATATTTTATTCCCAATCCACTCCCCACCTTGTGTGTGAGACAGAGAGAGAGAGAGAGAGAGAGAGAGAGAGAGAGAGAGAGAGAGAGAGAGAGAGAGAGGAGGATCTATATGAGTATTATCCTGTGCATGTCACAGTAAACGTGTAGTGGTCACAAGACAATTTCAGGTGCTGGCTATTGCCTTCCATGTTGTTCGTGTCAGGGTCTCCTTGTTGGTCTCTTCTGTGAATGCTAGGCTAGCTGGTCCATGAGCTTCCAAGGATTTCCCTATCTCTGCTTCCATCTTACAGTAAAGTGCTATGTTTACAAACATGATATCACTTCTGTCTGTATATGAGTAACATCACATCTGGCTGCATATGAGTGATATCACTTCTGACTGTATATGAGGAATATCACATCTGACTGTATATGAGTGACACCACATCTGACTGTGTATGAGTGACACCGCATCTGGCTGCATATGAGTGACATCACATCTGGTATACATGTGTTCTCCCATTTATGTGTTTTTAACTCAGGTCTTTACACTTGCACAGGAAACACTTCACCTCTGTTTTTAAATATACTTCCCTGGTCATGGTGAATAGCCATAAATATTTCTATCAAGAGTCAAATGTGATCCTGATACATGATGAGTGAAAAAATTATATTTATAATAACTGTGGCTATGTTGTCATGTTGATAATTTATTTGTTATCATGCTTATTTAATGTTTGTGGTAATAATTCTATATTGCAACAATGACCATTTGGCCTGTAGTTTAGACACAGGATTGGTATTGCTTCTTAACATGGGTGAGCTCCATCTGTTTTCTGAAATTTTACTCCTCAACCTCTTCAAGGACTCCCAGATGACTCATAGCACTGCTGGCATGTATCACATGGCCTTCCCTAAGCATGCCTCTCATTCACACCATGGTCTTCCATAAGAAAAGAAAGGGGAGTCAGCCATCTGGTCCCATGTAACCTCACCTGGAAACATGGGCTAAATATATGTAGGGGGTTCGATGACATATCCTGGTTGTCTTTAGGGAAGGGCCAAGGACAGAAGTTTTGACACTTGAGGTTCATTTTGCAAAGAGCAAAAAGGGCAAACAGTGAGTGCTGGAGAGAGGTATGGATGATTTTCAGGGGAACTTTTAGTCTATGCTCACACTGGCAACATTAAGAAGTGATGTAATTCTGACTGGGGTATGTGGAAGTCCTTCCCAAAGTAGCTACACTGGATAAACTTTGAAACAAGGGAACTAACTTGCTATTTGTGGAAGAGTACAAAGGGAGTAAAAGAGTAAGGTCCTCTGTTAGAGTCTGGTTCAGGAGGGAACACTTTCTAAGTCATAGTTACACTATCTGACCATTATCCTTGATGCACACTGAAGCACTTTTTAAAGCCCAGAATGCTGTCTGTGATCAAGCTGATTCCATCTATTTTAAACCCTTCTTACCTGTTTCTGCTCTTCTCCAAGGCCATCCCACATTGAAGCCACAATCTTAGAGACTTCACCAAAAGTAGCATTTGGATTTTGGCCTTTGATGGCAGCCTGAGTATCACGAAAGAACAAAGCATAGGCCGACACAGGCTTCTGGGGTTCATTGGGGTCCTTCTTCTTCTTTTTTTTGGGAGTTTTGGGTTTTTTTCCCATATCAGAGGCAGGCCGCTTCTCTCCACCATTGATCTAAAGTAAAAATCAATACAAGAGTTATGGAGGAACTGAGGAATCAGTGGCTGAATCATATTGCTACTCTTCTTTGACACAAACACAAAATGCCTCCCAGACAACCCCCACCCAGAGATATTTCTGTAAGAATAGAGGGAGTTGCTGGTGTGGTTTTACACATAAATCTTCATATTTTATTTCAGGGTAGAGCTCAATGGTAGAATGCTTTTCCAGCATGCTCAAGGTCTTGGATTTGATCCCTAGTACCACAACACAACAAAAAAGTCCAAACAAAAAGACAATGTTTACATATCACTTGGTCTCTGTAGTCATCCTTTTTCTGGCTCACTTTACCTAACTCTAACATTTTGTTTTCTTTTGTAATTTTTGCTGAGTATGCCATGCCTAGCTGATCTTTCCACGGCCTTGCCTAATCCGGCCTCCTATTTACTGTAGAAGTGCTGGGTTACAAACATATGGTAATATAAATGACTTTACATGAGTTCTGGGGATTTGAACTCAGGTCTTCACACTTGTCAGCAAACACTTTACCACTGTTGAATGGTACCCCATGTCTCCCTTCACCCTTTCTCTTTCACTGTAGCTTTGAAAGCAGCAGCCTTCTCTTGTTGTGATCTTATTGGGTTTGCTTTCTTCTGTGAAGTTTGGACTTAGCTTCCTAAATGACTTTAAACATTATGTCAGCATGTCTAACAAAGTCAAATAGTTCTTGATTTTAACCTGGGTTGATGGATGTGGTTGGGGGTGGGAATCCAGCAATGTTTATTGTTTAGAGAGTAGACAGCTCTAGAATGTAGGTCACTGCTCTCCAGTGGAACTTCTGCAAAATCCTGGGAAAATGATGGCAAATTTCTATATGGTAATAAATGCTTAAATGAATTAGATGATCGTATCCTTTTTCAAATTCAACTTGAAACAAATACCCAATGGCTAACATATTGAAGACTCTACCCCTAAAATCTAGATTCCAGAAATCTCTAGAACAACTTAGATTAGCATTTTCCTCTGCTTAAAAATAGATGCAGTCTTTCTCCACTGTTCTGAGATTATTTAAATTGTTATTCTGACGCAATCAGAAAAGCTTCACAGAGTGTGCTTAAGGCACCAACATGTGGATTTCATTCCAGCTCTCAAGTCCTATGACCTGATAGGATTATTTAATGTTGCTACCTGTGAAGACCCCTGCTCATAAGAGACTGTCCCACTGATCTAAATCCTGTTTACTTCATCTCCCAGCAGTGGCCACTCTCACAGCTGTTCTGACTCTTATCTTCTATGGCTGCTCTGTGCTTTCCTGCCTGTGAATAGTGTATGACTTATTCACATAACATGCATGTGTATAAGACAACCCCCACTGTGTAGAGGACACATACTCAGTCAAGAGTCCTATGAAGCCATAAGTTCAAGCTTTCCTTTAGTTAGCTATCAGCTGTGTTATCTTTCTTAAAGTAATTTTCCTAAATTATCTTTCTATCTTAAATTAGTTTCAGATCTATTTTTTACAATTACTGTAATGTACATATTTACATATTTTAAAACTTTAGCATATTTGAATACAAGCAATGAAATTTTAAAAGTTAACTCATCAAAGAAATGCAGAAACATCATGTTGGTTTTTGAAAACATAAAGTCAGTTTAAAAGATTTGCTCAGGAACCAATAAGAAACTGGGAAAAAGCTTCATGAAGTCTTTGACTTTGTTTTCATTTGAGACAGATAGAGACCTGAGAATGATAATTAAGATGACAATTAGCTATTGACAATTGATGGTTGCTGGAGGAAATCACTACAGGGATTTGGTACCTGAGTGGCTCTCCATGCTCCACTCCATTGTCCTACACCCTTATACATACAGGTAGAATTTCTTGGACTTAGTGGGTTTCAAAAGGGCACATAAAGTTGGAAGTTGTTCTGGTTTGATAAGAATGACCACAGTAAATTTCTATATTTAAATCTCATTCTAAGCCAAGAGTCTCTCCGTGCTGTTTTTATATCCAGAATGTAGAACTTCCAGCTCCATTGTCAATATTATGTCTGCTTGAAGACTTCCATGCTTCCTGTCATGATGATAATGGACTAGCCTCTGACATTGTAAGCCAGCCACTCCAAATAAGTGCTTTCTTTTACAGGAACTGCCTTGGTAATGGTGCCCCTTCACAGTAACAGAACAGGGTCTAAGACAGGAAAGTGAGGGAGTGAACAGGAGAAGAATTAGAGGGGAGAGGATGGGGAGTTAATCACTATACATTATGTGCTTGAATGAAATTCCTGAATAATTAAAAAAAGTTCTGCTAGAAAAAAATAGAAGTTGGCTGCTCTGAAATTGTCCACTCCAAGAGATCAAAATCCCCCACAATGACGTGGTGCTCTGAATCAAATTAAGGTATTGTAGAGTAACACTAATCTGCAGTCTGAGGGGTGAGTCTATGAAACCACTGGACCCACTATAATTTTGTCAGAAGAGAAAGTCATCAAATATGGCTGCACATAGAGAAGCTTTTAACAAGTGCTCTAATATACCTAGGCATGGGATGCTGATCTTAGTCAAAACACCTCAGTTTCCTTTTACTACCTGACACATACATATACTGAAAAAGAAATCAGCTACCCTTTTCTGTCCACTATGACCACACATGCTCATATGTTTCTCCTTTTTATACCCAACTCTTCAAAGCACTTTTCTGTGCTGACTGTGCACTGTGTCTTATCATCACTTCCTGGTGCTTCCAACTCTCATAGCTTTTCATAAAGTCACCAGTGCCCTGGGAAGTTCCCTGGGAAGACATGTCTCTCCTAGTTTTAGGACATTAACCCCTGGGTTCTTCTCTTATTTTGCTGGTCTTTCTGGTTTTCATAATCATTTTCTTTGCCTCATCTTCCCCTACATGGCCATTTGGTGGTAGGATGCTTTGCAAGGTTCTGTGCTGCGAGCTCTCTTCATTTATGAATCTTATAAACACACAGGTTTCTAGTACCATTTGTGGTTGGGTGGTTGTTAGGTCTGGACATGCTTGACTTGGCATTCATATAAGCAACTATTATTTGATGCCATTATCTGAAAATCTTAATGATATCTCAAACTCGTCAGGCTCTTGTAATTCATTTGTTGAATTACCTAGGTTTTCATCCATAGTATGCAACAAATGTTCTAGCTATAAAACAATGTGCACATTGTTGGTATGCTTTTTTCCTAGCCCAAGTGGAAGTGCTACCAAGGTAGGGTCAGGTTTTGCTTATACTAGCACTTAAGTGATTCCTGAAATACATAATAAGTATTTAACAGTTGCTATAGTACTAGTAAATAAAGTAACAAAAATAATACTTTGACAGGAAGGATGAATGAATGTAAGTACAAATGGTTCCTGTTACAGGAAATTACTCATAGATTTGTTCAAGCACTTTAAGATAATAAGCAAATATGCAGTAAAAGAAAAAACATGGACAGGTTTTATTTTAAAAGTATTTGAAATATTACCAGCAACTCCTTTGCATTATAAGATGTATCTTTGTGATTCTATTTTTATACTTTGTTATCATGTCTAATTTTTTAAATAGCCATATACATTCATAACAATACAATCTATTTTGAAAAGAATAACAAAACAGTAAAACAGAAGAATGTTAAAGCTGAGTGTGTGAGCCACCTTTCCTGGATAAGTGCAGTTATTACCCTTCATCAGAGAAGTCTCTCTTTACAGCAGATGAAGATCAGCACAGAAATCCATAACTGCATACAATGAAGAGATCAACAGACCATGGAGAACCCACCCGAAACAGACACATTTACATCACAGCTCCTGCATCTATAGCTCAGAGGACATGGAGGAAGAGAGGGCAGAGAGCTTGTAGGAATGGCAGTATCAGGAAGTCTGGTGTAAAACAGGATCTTCTAGACACAATTACGTAAACAAGGCCAGAATGATGATCATCTAATAGAGATGAGAAAATTTTCTCAGGGTCCCACTCCTAGGCAACAAATTGTAGGCAACTAATGACTTCTGGAAAAAGAAGAATTATCCTATCCCAGGGATGAGCCTCTTATTACTTGTCCAATGCAAAGTGGTCAGCTCTGAAACTCAGCAGGTTTTATTAATATATTTGTGCATATACATATGTACATACACATGCATGTATGTAATAATAATCAAAAGAAAAGAGTGTATAAACTTGAGAGTGAAGGGGACACAGGGAGGCTATGAAGGAGGGTGGCTGGGAGGGGTTGGAGGGAGAAAGATAGGGATAAAGTGATGTAATTCTATTTCAATTAAAGCAGTATTAACAAAAAATACTATTAAAGACGGAGTAGTCAAAGGAGGCAAATATTCAGCTATGAATGACTTCTGAGGATATGGTGTGCAGTATGGCCATTCCAGTAAGCAATGCTGTAGTATACACTAAAAATTTGCTGAGAATATATTGTAAACATCCTCATTAACAATAAAGCAAACAGGAAAAAAACAATAACAAGAAAACAAAAATTGGTTAGCAGGTAAGATAAATTGGTGGGTGTTTTAATTATCTTGGCTATAGTAACCATTTCATAATGTACATATATATCAAATAACCATGTTGTATACCTCACTTATCATTTTGTTTGTCAATCACAGCTTAATAAAGCTACAAATAAAAGTGGTGATTTTGACATTTAAGAGAACATTTCATCAATAATGGGAATAATTAGAAATGGAATAAAGAACAGATAAGTAAATGCTTATTCAAAGAGAATATTACTATATCATTTTAAAATGTAACTAAAATAGTAATTATTGAACAAGTTGAAATAGTTATGACTGACAGTTATGTCAATCTTTCCAGAAGATAATCAAATGTCAAGAGACAAATCTATAATGTAACATGATATTTTTATTGAAGGATTTCCCCAACCCAAGAACTCAGGCTAGTCTCATTTTAAAGCTGGTTTTACAATAATTCTTCTCTTTGTTTCATAATAATATTCTATTTTTTAGATGACTGATATGGTAGTTTGAATGTAATTGG